AAAATTTAATATCGCTCTGGCAATCTACTTTAAGGAAAGTGAAAAAACAACTTTGGGACCATTCTATGCAAAAAATATGTTATTTTAAAGTTTAAGGCCAAAAGAAGCAACCAAATATTAAATATGAGGAATACCTGCATTATCTATGGCTCATAAAGTCACTAAACTATTATTGAGCAATTGAAAACAACATTTTAGCTATAATTATATTATCCAAAGTTTCATATATGTTATTATAGATTATATTTTTTAAAATATGTAAATAAGAAATTCAGGAGTCTAGACTAAAGACATTAGAAGACAATTAAAACCTGTGAGAGTTATCATTATCTGCATATATTTTTATCATCTATCTTTGTAATTATACAATAAAAAGCACTTTTCAGAACAGAAAAAAATATTTTAAATTTATTTGATGGTATACATATCAAATGCAATTATTTTTATTTCAGTAGTGGAGATTTCTACATGTTCCTTTTTTTTCTATTTCTTTATATTTGTATTAGGGTTGGTTGTTTAGAGAAACAAAACCAGTGACATTCGATATGAACATGAAAGAGCTTTGTAGCAAGAAGTACTCTTATATCAAAAAGGCATTTCAACCCAGTCTAACTTAGGTCCACAGAGCTGATAGTAAGCAAACCTCTATTCAGGCTCACATAAACTTCAAGCTGATGACACAGAAAGGTGAACTGTGATGCAGGAAATTTTCCTATAGGATTAATTTTCAAACATTTCCCAATGTAAAATTTAACTGAAGAATTCAAAGTATTCTTTTTTAAAATCATTTTATTGGGGACTTGTACAGCTCTTATCATAATCCATACATACATTCATGTGTCAAGCACATTTGTATATTTGTTGCCATCATCATTTTCAAAATATTTTCTTTCTACTTGAGCCCTTTGTATCACTCCTCATTTTTCACTCCCTCCCTCACCCTCCTTCTCTCCCTCATCCTTGTTAATTTATGAATTGTTATTAATTTCTATGTCTTACACTGACCAATGTCTCCCTTCACCCACTTTTCTGTTTCCATCCCCCATATGTTATTTAAGCTGTAAAATAACATATTTTTTGCATGAAATGGTCCCAACGTTGTTTTTTCACTTTCCTTAAAGTAGATTGCCAGAGCGATATTAAATTTTTTAAGGTAGAGATACAGAGTTACAAATATTAACTTCCAATTATCTCTGTGAAAAGACAGCCATTAAAACTTAGCAGTTATACAAGAGCTATTTCTGGTAAATGATTCAGACCATTTTCTTTCAAAGTGGCCTAAAAAGATGGACCTAAATGCACCTTAAAAAAAAGGGAAAACAAACAACTTTGCTAACGACAGAAAGGAGCTTTGCAAAGTCAACCTGCCCTGACAATGTGTCTGCCCTGAGAGACAGCAGTACCAAGGTTAGTAAAACTGAAGTCTGCAAGTGGGAAGGAACTTTGGGTACTTTTTTATTGGATAACATTTTCAAAGCTTCATGTGGCCACCTTTTGTAGAAGTTAGGCTCCTTTGTAAAAGAGGGTTTAAAATATGTGACCTCCTCCCTGGGGGGTGGACAACCGAAAAGTGGGTGAAGGGAGACGTCGGACAGGGCAAGATATGACAAAATAATAATTTATAAATTATCAAGGGCTCATGAGGGAGGGGGGAGCGGGGAGGGAGGGGAAAAAAGAGGACCTAATGCCAGGGGCTTAAGTGGAGAGGAAATGTTTTGAGAATGATGAAGGCAATGAATGTACAAATGCGCTTTACACAATTGATATATGTATGGATTGTGCTAAGAGTTATATGAGCCCCTAATATAATGATTTTTTAAAAAGTCTAATTGTAAATCTCTTAGAGCAACTTAAAAATCACAAGTATTTTCTAAGTACAGAACATGTGTATACATATATACACACATATAATGGGGAGGCCTAAGGGTATAATATAACTACTAAAATCGGATGTTAAACACTGTATCTAAACACCTGCTCACACTAAACAATCTCTGTTTAACACCAGCCATTTCTAACTGCAAAGTCGAATTGAAATAGGCAGAACAAAATGAGAAACCTGTGTCACTCTGTAAAGAACTATGAATGCTTCAAAAAGTACATGGAAAATGGAATTTAAAAGATGGAGAAAATTCTCCACACGTTTTTGAAGCCCCTTCATACTTGTGTCTTGACGCAAGTATTTGCAAGAAGACAAATCGCCCAAGCGGACACTTCCAATCAAAGGGAATCGCTAGTCGTCAAACCTAAACCAGACCTTGCTCAGGAGATTTTGACTTTGGCAAGACCTTCATTTTAAAATGTTCTTCCTCTGTTTTGTTAATATAGAAAAAATATTCATTGATATATTATTTCTATATTTGTCAATATAGAAAAATATTCATTGATATATTATTTCTATATTTGTCAATATAGAAAAATATTCATTAATAATTTACTTTTCATGAAGAATCCATTGTTTAAAACGAGATCCTGAAGCTATGCATTGTTTTTGGAGTTTTGGGGTTTTATTTTTCCTTTACCTTTTTAAGACTTTTTGTGGTGATTTAAGTGGATCAGTTCAATTTATACACATCTTGTTTGAACTCATCCATTTCAAGTCCCTCAATGCACCATGGCTCATCCCACTTCTTCCCAAGGTTCCTTGTTTACATTCTTCCTTCCTTCCTACCCCTCTGCCCTCAGGTAAATATTGCTCTTTTGATTTTACAATGGCTGATAATTCCAACCCAGTGTGAAGTTCAATTCCAGAACTGAAAAATGGCCAACGATATAATCTTGGAATTCCACAAATCTTTCCGACCAAGAAGCCTGGTCTCTTTTAAGATTTTGAGTTCTGGATCACATTTTCCCACTCTATCCAGTACCTTCTGATGTTATCTCTTACAGAATGGTTGGCAGTGGTAATTGGTAACCATCTAGTTATTCCTGTCTCAGGATTAAGGAGACTGATATTTGGATGGTCCATGTGTCTGACTGGGTTTTCTGAGCAGCAAAAACCACTGATGCATATATATATTCAAATCCATGGCCTAGATGTTCAGCTGAATGATTTCCCTGATGTGTATTGCTGAGCCAGATGAGGCCAGAAGCAGGAAGATGAACTTGGAAGCAGAAAGGACATAGCCTGGTGGAGACAGGGGATTCTAACTCTAATAAGTTAAGCTTATGACTGCAAGGTCAAAGCAATCCAAGGTCAGCAGGCAATATGGCAGGCTGCTAATAGCTTCCTGTGTCAGTAGGCAATTTGGCAGTCCATTGGATCAAGTCCAAAGAACCAGAGGTCAGTGAGAAAGATGCAGAATCCAGGCCAGCAAGAAGAGTCAAGCCTTCCTGGACAGTCATCTTAAATAGGAATTATTCACTTCCAAACGAAACTTCATCCCAATTGCATCAATCTATAACCTGATTAATGTGGCAGCACACCAACTTAATCTTTCCACAACTTTTTGACTCCTCCCGGCAAATCCCATCCTGGAGTTGATGACATTGTTTTAGGTCACATCATGGGGAAACCTTAAGCTGTCAAACTATTGAGAATCTTAACCTAGAGAAGTTGACACAAAACCTAACTATCATTGTCCATTAGTCTATTGGACTAATTGTTTCCATTTTTCTTTTGATTTTGATCATTCTTCCTTCCTTAGGATGGGGAGAGACCAATGTTTGTACCTTAGATGGCTGCTCACAAGCTTGTAAGACTCCAGTTGCTAATCAAGTACGATGTAGCTCTTTTTTTTTTTTAAGATGTAGGTCATTGTCAGTGTAAACTACATTATGCCAATTGACCTTGATGTTCTCCAAAACTATGCCCCTGAATCCCCCAGTCCATTGACTCATTCTCTCAGGGTATTTGGTTATGCCCTGGGAAGAAAATGTCAAAACTTTATACCCTATACGCTACACTACCTTCATGGCTATACTTTCAATAGTAAATATACATAAAAATAGCCTCTGTCAAACCTGTATAGATTCATGAGTATCCTTCCACTCCCCTTCCACACCTGTTCAGTCAAGCAACTACTCATTGTTCTTCTTAGGTTCCTTAGCATTGGTTCTGACCCATACAGACTACAGGCTATACTCCACAGTACCACAAAGGGCTTGGTCCCATACCCTCCTCACAATTCTTCTTATGCTTGAACCCATGGTTGCAGCCACTGTGCCAACCCATCTCACTGCCCACCTCATTGACCAAGCATGATAGATAGCCTTCTCCAGGGACCAGTCTTTCATGAGAACATGTCCAAAGTACCTGGCATGAGGTCTAGATATCCTTGCAACTAAGGAGCACTCTAGCCCTTACTTCTTCCAACACAGATTTATTGGTCTTCTGGCAGTCAATGGTACTTTCAATATTCTTTTCCAGCACCACAGTTCAAATGCATCAGTTCTTCTTTGGTCTTCCTTTTCCAATGTTCAGCATTCACATGCAAATGACGCAATCGAAAACTCTTCATTTGGGTCAGGTTTGTACCTCAGCCTTCAAAGAACATCCTTGCTTTTCTAAACTCTAAAGAGGTATTGTGTAGCAGGGTCACCTAGTGCAGATTAACCCCTGTCTTCTTAGTTCATCACCATTACAGGATGATGTGTGTAACAGGAGTTACCTCTGTGGCCTTCCAGTCTTCCAAGCCTCTCCGTGCCTTGCCTGCATCCCTCATCTTCGTTCTCACCTCTGTTATGGTATATGCTTCCCTCACCCACGTTGACACTTGTCTGCCATACAGCCTGCAACTTCCCCGCTTTTCCATTCCTTCCCAGTCTTAGCAACCACCCAGCCATGTTTCCTCCAGTGTGGAAATCTTTATTCAAGTTCTATGATAGTGGTCTCTTAAAATATTTGACTTTTTTGCCATATACTAATTTTGCTCAGCACAATGCCTTCCAGGTTCATCCATGTTATAAGATGTTTCATAGATTTACAATTATTCTTTTTTTTTGAAGATCAATGTCTGTTTTATTTCCTTTCAGGTTTGTTTGCTTTCAGCATCTAATCTTTACCTAGGCTTTGCAGGAGGTCGTGGGGCGGGACCTACAGGTCTCAAACGAGGCGGATCGGTGGGGTGAGTTTGGTCCTCACTGACTTCGCATGACCAGTTCGTGACCACCCTGCTGTGAATGGCACAGCTCACACAATGATGGAGCTTTGCTTTGCGTACAGCTTGGGAAGCGCGGATGCACTGATTTGCTTCAGAAATGTCTCTGACGGCTGCGGTCGCCACTGTGTTTTCTATTACGAATTTGTTCACGGCCTTGTCTTCGGGCTTGCAGCCGGCGCAGTTCGTGCAGTGAATAGACTGCACATGGCCGCGGCCTTTCTTAGTGTGACCATTCTTATGCCTTTTCTTTGTCATCTCGGAAGCAAGGACATGAAAGAAAGGCTACAATTATTCTTTAACACTGCATTCGATTCCCTTTTGCCTGTACAGTACCAGATTCTATCCCTTTCTCTGATGCTATTTTGAATAATGCTGTGATAAAGATGGGTGTGCATATATCTATTGATTTCTTTAAAAAGTGGGAATTTCTTTACACAGTGAAATTGAGTCATATTCTCATCGCCAACTTTCTGAGGAAGCACCAAACAGCTTTCCCCAGTGATTGGACTGTTTCAGAGTCTCACCAGGCATCCATGAGGGTTCAGTCTTTGCACCGTTTCCATCGTTTGCTTTTTCCCCTGTTTATTTCTTCTTGTCCCCCACCCCTTTCTTTATCTCCTATAAACTGTCCTCTATGCACTGCTTTCTCTGTATCCCAAAGTTTTGGTATTTTATATTTTCATTATTATTTGATTCAAGGAAGTTTTTAAATTTCACATCTAAAAATTTACCCAGTAGTGTTTAACCAGAGTGCTTATTAAATTGCCCTGCATTTGAAATGTCTTGATCTTCTTGTTTTTGATTTGCAATTTTGTAGTGTTGCAATATGAGAAAAATTCTTTGTAATATTTTTATATTTTTAAATTACCTGTAATATAATACACTTTAAAGAATGTTCCCTGTATACTATAAAAGAATATACATTGTACTGTTGTGTGGCATGCTCTATGTATGCTTGCGAAGTGATTGTGTTATTTACTGGGTCCATGGTGAAATGTCCCAAGACAGACAAGCAGTGCAATAAGTATGAAAGTGTACTCTTATGACAAATGGAGATAAATTAGCAGGAACAAAATAAAACAAAACAAAACTCCCAGTCATCGAACCAATTAGGGTAAAACTATCCCTGTGGGTTTCTGAGATGGAAACACTTCACAGGAATAGAAATTCTGAGTAGAAAACCTTTTATTTCCTCACAGGGTCGCTGGTAGTTTTGAATGTTTGCAGCCTAATGCATACCACCATGGTCGCTAGCAATTAACAGAAGTCCACTAGTTATCTCTTTTAATCTGAGAACAAAACATAATTTGAATTTGATGAGAAATGCAATGAACAAATATCAGGAAATTTTGGTTTGCCCCAGATAACATAAGCCTTAAACCAACACTTAGCTTCAACATCAGTTATTTTGTACAATCACCCAAAAAACAAAAAACCAGAATGAACAAGATCAAAGAATTAAGCAAGCCCATTAGAAAAAATACTAAACAAAAGATCATGCTCTACTCATATTGAGTCTCAAGTTTTACTCAGATGACAGGAATTCTGATGACAACTATGTTGTTTTACAAAATACACACACACATATATACACATGACATACTCATTTTTCCGTCATGTTGTAGCATCAAAACTTGTAAAAAGTAGAGGGAAATTGAATGGGAAGTCAACAGTCATTATCTCATAATTATTTGATATAGATCTTTAACCTGGTTACTCATAAATCAAGAAAATAATGATGAAATTTGAAAACTGTCTACAAAAGTGATATTATCTTATGTCAGAAGTTAAATAGACTGTAAACAGAGAAAAATGAAGTCCAGTAGATTAAGAACAAGCACATGTGTAGTTTTTCTGGAACTAAAGGATTTGATTTGAATAATTTTAAACATGTAATAAAATTTGAACTCATAAAAGTTTCCAAAATACTTTAAATAGTGAAAGATATTTCAAATTATTGTTTTTTAAATGTATTTTTCTTATTAGTTTGTGAAAAAGAAAATTATATTTGCGTTAGGATAGGGTTGAGGCGCATAACAACTCTAAAGTGCGATTTTATTTTTGTAAATGTGTAAAATGCTTAAAAAAATAAGAACCAAATGCTGCATATTTTAACAAGTAAAAGGAAAGCTGACAGTCAATAATTTATGATATTACACCACATAATGAGAAATGTTCCATCTCATGTTCTTTAAATACATTTTTGAAATCATGGATTGGAGTAGCTCAATTTTTCTCTCTTCTAATATATTTTAAATTCTTTGAGATATCATATGGTTTGAATTTTAATGAAGTAAAATCAGAAAGGATGTGAAAAGAGCATAAGATTGGGACAAATATGCTGAACTACATAACTAAAGGGCTAAGGCTAATGTGCATCTATTTGTTACCGTGTCCAAAGGGATTAACTGGAACATACAGCACGTACATTTTATATGGGGGTTTTGTGTGTTTGATTATTGTCTAGTCCATTGATACTTAAAGCTACTCTGTGTGACAGAGCAGGATGCAATTATAATTACCAAATCTTTATATCACAGTTATATATATATATATAAGGTGGAAACACAAAATCCCAACTTCAGTAGCTAGCAAATCAATGGAAATACTATGGTCTTCTTCCACCAGTTTCTCGACTTCAGCCAGTTTCCTCATTCGTCGAGGTTGACAGTATCCTTCTCTTGACTCATCTTTGAGGTCTTCCTGACCTTTCTTAAAACACTTGATACAGCTGAATATTGTTGTTCTATGTGGGGCAGCATTCCCCTAGACTTGTAGCAAAGCTACAGTAATTAGGAAAGATGTCTCCTTGAGTTTTGTTAAAAAAAAATTTTTATTAGCCCTGCCTCCAAAATCATCCCCACAACAATTGCATAAAAGTAGAAGTCACCCTAATGAGACTAAGAAAATTGTAGTACTGATAGATCTTTGCTGTAACTCGGCCAGGCTATCTCTGATCTTCCCTAGCCCTAAGGCAGGGGTGAGACATGCCTCCAGCTTTCTTTACCTTTTCGGGAACCAACTGTCCCATGCAGGGTTCAACAATTTCTTGGAATGACCACATAGAACCCAAATAGGATGCTCATGATTAAAGGAGTTTATTGGGAGGTAACAGGTTACCAAATGTTGAAATCAATAACCAGGAAGAATACAGTCATTGGTACACAGCAATACCTCTCTTCAGCCAGTAGCCAAGTCTCTCTCTGGTCTTCAGCCTCTCAACCATGTAGTTCTTTGATCTTTGCCATCTGGGACCATGAAACCCCCCTGTTGTTCTGCCTCACAGTTCCACAAGCTCAGCACGCTCTTGCTCTGCCTCATTGACTCCATGTCAAAGTCCCTGGTGTCCCTGGTATCAGTCTCAGCCTCTTATGAATGCTTCTCTGTGAAGCAAAGGATCTTTTCCCAATGTTCCATAATTGAGTCTCTCCTATTTTCTCTATAATCTTTTCAGGCAACTTCTTAATGTCAAGCCTCACTTCTCTGTCAGTGGGTACTGTACCTGAATCTTCAATGAGTTTCATTCTCCCTCTCAAAATTTAGCACCATAAACTAAACTATCTTCTGGGCATCTCTATCTTCAACTACTTTGTGAATGTCAAATCTCATGTATCAAGTAACAAGTTGTAACTTTTTCTTCTCAATTTTCCTATGCTGGTTACTTCCTTAAATTACATAATCTGCTGTCAATTTGAGACTTACGAGTGAAGGGGTTAAAAAAAAAAGAAAGAGTGAAGGGCTGGAGTTTAGACTGTCAATCAGGTCACAGCGTGATAACCTCATTTAGAGGCACTAAGGAGATAAAAAGCTCACTGGAC